CACGAGGCGGCAGAAAGTCCGAAAGTCGGTAGTCGCGCTCACTCTATTACTTATGTTTACAAGCCTAACCTTCTTTGTGATTGTTATGAATGTATCTGTTTTGTTATGTATCAATGATTTTAGGTTGAAATTAAATTAGTTACAGAAAATGAATATTTATTTTAATGAAATGAGACTTGTTAAATATTTAAATTACAAAAAAAAAAAAACGAGAAATATTCTTTATTCTGATCGATATTCTCAAATAAATAAATCCATTGGTGAACAAATAATTATTTGAAAAAATATACAAACAGATTTTTGTCTTAATTTTTTTTTCTAGATATGTATTTTACGATTATTATTTCATTTTTCTGTTTTTATTTTATTCTTAAAATCATAGTTAATTTATGATACATTTATAACGTTAAATGATACGTTTATTCAGTTAAATTACGATCTTTTTTCAAAAGAAAGTAGTAACATGATTGATTATATATTAATATCTTTATTGACAGGTGTATTTGATGCCTGCCCCCCCGACAAGCAGCACTCGCTTCGCTCGTGCCGCAAATGTCGGGGGCAGGCATCAGTTTTTTTCAACGCAATTTTTAACGTACTTTCGACCGCATAGCAAGAAAACTAGTATACACTACATGGACAGAAATTTGAGAGCCCTGAACTGCGCGTCAAGATGCCCTCGGCTTCGCCTCGGGCACATGACGCGCAGTGCAGGAATCTCAACTTTCTGCCCTTGTAGAGTAATATACTATTCATAATTTTTACTCTTGTTTTTCTTGGTTTACGGGCCCGAAAAAATTTTTTCTGCCCTCCGGCCGGAAAGTGGCAACTTTCTGGCCGCTGCGCTAAACAAAGTTGCCACATTCCGGCTACGTCGAGCAGAAAAATAGTATACACACCTTGGCCAGTAAAAAGTAAAGCCTCAGATCACATGTTTGTCAACCTCGGCTTCGCCTCGGCCAACAATTACATGTGATCTGAGACTTTTCTTATTTTACTGGCCTAGGTATGTAATATACTATTTCGATTAGACGATCTTATCGATCAGATAACATGTTTATTCAGCTTCAATTTCCTTATTCTATTTTCATGCTACGTCCATTTGAGGCGAAGATATCTAAACGAAAAAGGACTCTTTTGTCTTAAACCATTGATATTTCAACAACCAGAGACCATACAGAAAATTGAAGAGCAATTTCGAAAACATGAATAAATTTCTTTAAATATTTGTCAAGACTTGGAACAGTTTCTAATCAATTAAGTATATTTTATAAGCAAATCTTTTTCGTGTGTAGGGTAGAGATAACGTTTGTAGGCACTGTATTGTTTTTCAAAATTTGAAGTTCAAATTATTGTATCAATGATTTATAAACGTAATAGCATCATAAATTCTGTTTGTATAAATGTTAGCGTTTAAAAATTCTATGAAAACATTATTTTAACTTTACAATTTACAATTAACTTTTACAAACAGTTTACAATTAACTTTACTAAGGTGTCCAAAACCGGTGGTTCTACCCCATATAATCGAACTTTCATACGTGAAAAATCGATAATCTCGCACGAATTAACCATAAGTTTTTTAGTTATTAGTGCAATCTGAATATTATATTGTGCTCGCTGTTTTGATTATTCAATAACTTTATTTTTCATTGCACATATTGGACTCTGTTATGCAATAGTGTGTTAACTTAAGTGCATTGGATTTCCATAGCACTTAACACATTAATGCATAACAGGTCCATATATCCTTTATTAAAAATTTAATGTGACGTTTTCATTGTTATCGCTTTCTGTTGTTATGGTAACCACTTTGGCAACGAGTACCATGGCACCGGTTTCTATAACCACGGTTACCATAGCAACAGTTACTATGGCAACGATTAAATATTAATGAGTAAAATTTGTAAAATTATTGATTAATTGTCGATAATAATCATTTTGACAGAAGTGTGCAAAGCGCACTCGAGTTTTTAGTTATTGTCAAAAATAAACAAAAATCGCGGTAAAAAATCATTAAAATAAGATTGTGCTTATACTGCATGAATCCTTAATCAAAATTGATGCATAGTTGTTGACTTCGATAATGAATCTGCTTAACAAGAATATTAGTTTTTCTTTAGATATCCAAGTTTTGCAGCCTCTAAAAAATTATTTATTGAATTAGTTTTTTCGTAATTACATAAAAACGTAAAATATTCTGCATAGAAAAAAGTGTACAGCTAAAAAGTATATTTTGAAACATAAATGATAACATAGTATTACAAAAAAATGTCGTTAATCAACTTGTAACAGTGCAAATTGATATACTCGTGCTCGTGCAAGAGCCTTGCGTACCGGCCTTCGTCAGTTTCATTTTCAGGCACTAGGCAGCGCGGTCGCTCGTTTTAATTCTCGGAGTGGGGAGCTTGGGCCCTAATAATAGTCAGTCGAGCGGTGGAACAGGAACAAAACTCTGCTATGGTTTAGTGGCGCCATAACTCTAAGGTGAGGAAAAAAAAATACTATAATAAAATGTATAGATAGAAATACAAAAAAATCCACAGTCATACATTAGTTTTTTATAAATAATCATTTAACGACAGTGAATTGAACGCTCATATTAATTGAAAATGTCCATCTTGTGTTACTTAAAATAATAAAATCCGGTACGATTATTTTTTCAAACAATTTCCCTGCCACATACACCAATCTATAAGCACAGACACACGGACGTCCAAAAAAGATTATTTTTAATTTTATTATTTACTATGTTAAACAAAATAATTGTTATTGAAATATATTTTATGTGCCTGACATAGTAAATAATAACATTTAACATAATTTTTTCTGGACGTCCGTGTATGGATGGTTGTATGTGGCAGGGAAATTGGTCGAAAAAATTATCGTACCGGAACAATTTTTTTTTTATTATTTAAAGTAACACACGAAGGATTTTCCTAATTAATATGAGCGTTCAATTCACTGTGGTTAAATTATTATTTATAAAAAACTAACGAAACTTCCATACGAAGTCCCTGGTCTTATATATGACTGTGGATTTTTTTGTATATCTATCTATACATTTTATTATAGTATTTTTTTTCCTCACCTTAGAGTTATGGCGCCACTAAACCATAGCAGAGTTTTCTGTTTTTTATTATTTTGCTTTTTATATTTTATTTTAATCAATTTTATTGTGAAAAATGAGATTATGAGGCGTGCACTTTTGGATTTTCCAAACTTTTTACAATTAGTCTGCCTGAACAAGCATCCAATCCTGGGTGACAAACCTTTAATATAGGGAAACTTACAGAACGACCACCCTCTCAAACCAGCCTCAATCCTCAAATTACTATTAATTCTATCATTAGTAATTTTCTCACACTTCCTGAGAAGAGATGACGGATAGTTGTTGTTCATGAGCAAGTGTTTCACTTTACCAGTACTTACAGCCACCATATTCACATGACTTAGACGTATGGCTCTGTTAAAGAAACCTTGTGCTACACCTAGTTTCTGGCTCAGAGGATGATTTGATTTGAAGTTCAGAACTCTCCCCGAACTATATGGCTTTTGATACCATGAAGTTCTGAGTTCCCCAGATCCTGTTCTTTCCACCAACACATCCAAATACGGAATTTTACCATCTTGTTCAACTTCAATTGTGAATTGGATGTCTTTATTAATTGAATTGAACACCTTTACAACCATATCAACTTTATCCCTTGGTGTAATGAGAAAGAGATCATCCACATATGCTGCTACAACCGGAATCTCAAAATCTAACTTCTCTAGGGCTTTTGATATCACATAATCTACTGCAGTGATGACAATCACGGGACTTGCTGGACTACCCATCCCGCATCCTTCTTTCTGTATATAATAATTCCTTTGAAACAGGAAATACCCAGAGTGAAAACAAAATTTCACCAGATCTAATAGGAGATCTTGGTCCAAATTGATAAAATCTTTTATGACATTCCACCGTTCTTTAATGATGTTAATTATTAGGTCTTGCTTCACATTAGTGATATGAATCTTTCAAACTATTCAAATTTTTTTTCAGTATTTGGTTCGGATTTCGAATTGATTTATTCAATTCGATTCACCTTCAATAATTCGAAGTTTCGAATTTTCGCCCAACCCTGTAGAACATATTTTTTATCATTATAGCTATAATGTAAGTTTTAAAAAGATCAAATAATACTAATAAATGAATTATTCTTCATCAACGTAAGTTAAGCATAAAATAATCAAATATATGTAATATCGAAAATAAAAAGAGTATACGCCAAAAGCGTAGGCCATCAGTTAGTATTAAGTCTAGCTGTAAGATACTATGTAGGAGTGCTAGAGAGAAAGAGTGAGAGCGAGAGCATGCATGAAGGTATCTATCGGTATGATTTTTGGGGGATGTTAGCGTAAGTACGAGGAGTGGGAAAAGGGGATGAGTGCTGAGGGTCAGTTAACCTGAGTGAGAAAAGTTAGTTCTATACGAGCGTTTGACAAAGACGTGCCATTTTTTTTGTAAGACATTGTTTTTAATAAACTAACAATCATTTTAGATTCGACTAGTCATCACTTCTAGAAATAAGAACCTTAACCGATTAATTTTATATCATCGCATACCACATATATTTGCACGAAATTCATATTACACTATTTTAAAGATTAACAAGGTTAATTATCACCAAGTTAACATTTCACTGCATAGGCATACATAAACATATATTATTATGAATATTATTTCTATGATATTTTATGAAAACGAATTAGAAATTCCATAGTAAAAAACTATATTTACATTTTACATTATACGAAACATTTAATTTACTCTAAATAATATGATGAAAGTACTACTAGTGTTTACTGAGATATAACCCTACGCATGGGCACGTTTCAAATTCTCTCTCATGTTCAATAAAATCAAATGACTAGATTTTTTTACTCCGAATATCTTGAAACATATATTAGACACTTTAAATAATAGATCGGCCTTCAAAAGGAGAAAGAAGAATATTTCAGCCCATGTGTAATGATCAAGAAAGTTGAATCACTTATGAATCAGAATATCCTACTATTTTCCTTCATCTCCAGGGATTTTTTTCATCATATCTGCAACCCGACAGTTTGAATTCTTACCATAGTTCGCGGAAGAGTTCTTTCCCGTGTTAATTCTTTTATTTGTTTTTTTTTTTTTTTTTTTTAAAGAAAAGAATGCTGTTTTCTCGTTAAACAAAAAAGAAATTAAAACTTTCAATGTAAATATGTGTAAAAATGAAATATTATGTGGCGCAGAATAAAACAAAACGATTTCAGACGAGAATAAGTTCTGAATGCTTACTCGAATTTTCAAATTCTTATCAATTGATTATATTAAAGCATTAAGTTTTAATTCACAAAGCTTATTTTTGAGGTGCCTGTTGCCAACATTCGAGTTGTTTAGAAATGATCATTTTAATAATTTCAACTTTAAAATTGAAAGTTATCATGCAAATAATGCAAGAAAAAAATTTGAACATTTTTATACCAATTTAGGCTTTAAGATAGTTCCTCCATCCAACCACTTTACGACAGATTATGCTAATTTTATTTCACTGTTTATGAATAACGTTTACTAATAAATCCCGAAGTTTCAGAATTTTTGACCGTCCAAGAAGCAAGACATTAAGTATGAAAATTCGTGATTTTCAGGCTTACTTATTCTCTTCTAAAACATGTAAAACTCTCTGGCTAGCCAAATATTCTCTGTTATATTAAATAAAAATGCCATTCGGCCTTACTCGAAATGGGAGGTAGATTTCATTTGACATACAATTCCCTTACAATTTTCGCTACTATAATTTGTTGAAAACCAAATTTTTAAATTAATTACAATAAAGAAGTTCTGAAAAAGTTTTCTTGGTGGTATTTACTATTTGAATAATTATTTTGGACTAGTTCGAAAATGAACAAGATCTGTCTAAAAATATTATTACTATGATTCATAAAAAGTGCAATAATTGTATTAATTATTTTTATAGTTTTATGGGCGCAAGAAAATAAACATTATTTCTAAACAAAGCACGTTACAGCTGTTAAAATGATTTTTCTGATAAAATTTACTTTTTTTAGAAAGTACATTTAATTAAAAAATAAATAGTATAATAATTTTCGAAATACGAGAAATGGACTTATAGAAAATTAAAAAATCCTAAAGTGCATTTTATTTCGAATTATTTATATTTAACTATATATGATTTTTTAATAATAAAAGATCAATGGTTATGTCTATAAGATTCACTGTGAAATGAATATTTTGATCATTAATACGTAAAAAAAAAATTAAGTTAATAATAAATATTTTATTTTAGTTATAAAATCGAAGGTAATAAAGAAAAAAAGTCAATGTTATGTATATAAAATAAAAGGCAATTTCATGATCATGAGCTTTCACATGAATTTTTCGAAAATTAGCTATCTTTTTTCAATCGAAAGTTATTCATCAATGAAGTGACCGAAGACGTGATTTTCACTATTTTGAAAATTTTGAATAGCCGCCATTTCTAAACTAATTAACCGATTTTGCTCATCTTTGAACTCGTTCAAGGTAATTACCCAAAGAATATGTGTACCAAATTTTATCAAGATTGATTGAAAATTTTTGCAGATATCGTGATGACAAGGTCGGTTATATTACATGTATATATTTTCGAGAGCAACCTTCTAAAAAATATTTTGAAATTTCACAGAAATACCCAAACAAAGCTCCTGTTAAAAAATTCTATGAATATCAAATAAATCGTCTCACCCCAAAGTATCTCAGAAAATACCCAAACACAGCTCCTGTTAAAAGCGGAACTCAAAATTCCAATTTAAAAAGGTTGCTCTCGGAAATTGAATTTTGGCGCACCCTAATATATATATACTAGCTAGTATATGCTAGCAGCTAGTATATACCCTATAGGGTATGCCCCGATTTTCGAAAAGTGGGGTAAAACCAATTACTTCCCAACTTTTGAAAATTTTCAATTTTCTTAGCGGGAAATTAAAAAAGTAGCACCTCACTGTTTTGTTATCGAGATATAATAATTCCAACATTTTTATTGGTCATTTTTATACAGTATTTCTATAGTAAATAATGATTTGTCAATAGTATCGACCTTCCGACTATAGTAAATGCTCTCTGACCGCATTATACCATGGAGGAACTACCTTAAAACGTCATATTTGTTTTTCATATATACCGTGCATTTGCTTTAAGAATAGGAAATATAAATAATTTAAAAATGACATATTATAATTCTGTTATTAAACATAAATACGAATGACAAAAGAAAACTATTCAATTTACGAATAATGTTTGATAAAAAATAAACTATTACTTTCTATTTTATTATAAGTTTTATAATAAAAATGGTATTTTCGCTATTCGTCTGAAACTATCTAGTTCTGGTTGGCTCCAGACATTTAAAACTAGCATTTTTAATGCAACTTATATGAAAAATATAATGTGTGACGCGGGATGAAACACGATTTCAGACCGAGTGATGCCAGCCCTCGCTTCGCTCGGGCAGGCAACTTCACTCTGGTCTGAAATCGTTTTGTTTCATCCCTAGTCACACAATATACTATTACTGTGCACTTGCATTGACAGCGCATTAAAACTGTAATATTACTAATTTAGTAATATTACAGTTACAATTACATAGTAATAGTAATAGTACACAGTTAGTAATATTACATTAATAATTTAGGCACGGCCACAATGAATTTAGAATCTTTTGGATCAACTCGAGTAGTTAACTTCACTCTGGTCTAAAATCATCTTGTTAAATTTCTTATGACACAACATTTCATTTTTTTATTATTGCAAAACGAACGAAAGAGAAAAAAAACGTGACCATGAAGAAAAAATTCGATGTAAATATTCAATATCCAACGATTGCTCGGAATTTTGTTAAGTTTTATGCCCTTCAGCGCGGATGATAATAGTTTAATTTTTCCACGATAGTGTATCTCAAAACGTAACCAACTTTTCAACTTAATTACTTTTTCTTGCGATAACCAAGCTTAGCTGCCTCTGAAAAATGTTTAATTGAATTTTAATTTTCTCTTAAATATGTTAATATTTAAATATTTTTGAAAATATGAATACCTTCAAATTCTTCTCTAAAATTACAAAAATATTCCCAAAGAGCATGACCGATTGATTCCGTCGGTAATTCTAAGTCTCCACCATATCTCGTAGGCACAGCTTTTCGATCAATTAGTTTTGTCAATGATGCCTTGTCCGTACCGTGGAAATGAATTCTTTTGCGTAACTTTTCCTAAATAATAGATAGATAAAAAAAATTATAAAATCAGAATCACTATTGAAATTATAATATTAGTACTAAATGCATTAAAAACCATATTTTACCATTAAGAAAGGCTTGAAAACAGCAAAAACCATGTTGAAAATGAAAGGTTGATTAACTATGTGTACACCTTTTAATCGAACAGGAAGACATTTTTGAACCCACTCAAGGACTGCACTGGCAAAACTTGGCGTAAAGTAAGTTACGTGGGTTAAAGATAATCCGGCCATGTCTAAAATAACATGAACTCCATTGACCTGAAGAGTGAATATTTTATATTTTACATCTTTATACTACACGTATCATTTCATATAACGTATTACCTGAGTTGCAGGCTCAACAATAGCGGCATCAAGCAGCAGCATGACTCCTCGAAAAATTTGATCTAATGAAACTTCCTTGGGCTTCCATTTAGAACCACCTTCTATTAAAACTAATCGACAGCCATCATTGGTACGTAATGGAAGAGGTGTTATCACTCCTGATATAAATATTTGACGATCAACAATCGGCGTTAGATTATCACAATAACGAGGGTGCGTTGCTCGATAGCGGTAGAAGCGTTTCATCTGTTTATAATATTAAAAAATTAATTTAATCAACCATTCGAAAGAGGTAGAGGTAGAAAAATATAAGTGACAAAAAAAATATTATATTTAGAAGCTGATTTTTATAGCTCTTCACTTTAACAATGAAAATCAACAAACATCTGACTATTTTTTGGTTTTACTCAACAAATAAATTAGTATGCTACGAAAATATTCTAAAAACTCCATTTTTATAGTTTGTTAAACCTTCTACATCTGGAATTGTATTTTCTCTATAATAATTTGTTTGTTGAAAAAAATCCTAAGAATTGTCAGACTTATTAGTTCATTTTAGTTATAATATCACGAGAGAAAAAATTTTTTTTGTCACTTGTTCTTTGCGGTCATAAGCCCTTGATTTTTTGTTGTTTAACAATTTTAAAAGGAGAATCATCATTAAAAACAGTATTTTTAAATACCCGACTATATTTATACTTAACATCACTTGATCTCAGAAATTAATCCTTAATCCTCAATCAGGATTCCGATAACTCCAATTACCATATTTTTTTATAAGCACATTCACACATTTAGACGTTTTCCGAAAATTGTTTCCTAAAAGCTCAAATGGCTGTTAAAAGAAAATTTTTTAAATCAGACATTGAAGACAATCATGTTTTTTTTTTTTTAGTTTTAGTCTAAATTATCATCTTTAATAAATAAGTTAAATATCTAATCAACTATATAAATGAATAGTGATGAATGATGAATCAATTTGTCAATAAATTACTATAATTTTATTAATTATAAAATATCCAACATAATAACTTATAACTATATATATTGCATCATAAAAAAAAACTGATGTAAGTAAAGGAGCTAGAACATAAGTTTTTCATCTCTATTACGTAACACCATAATATTTGAATGTTATCTCGAAGGCTAATATATTCATTGTTATTATTTTTGGATTTAAAACTATAATAAGTTAGAATACCATTAACTATAAAAGTAACATCTTCTTCGACTTGAAAGAAAACTTTAGCGACGTTTTTATCGTAACGACTTTTCTCGATCTTCTGGCAAATAATTCTCTAATATTTATGAGCCAATTTTTAACTTTTTCTTTTAAATAACTTTGAGAGCAATACCCGAAGTTATACATTTCTGATTTAAGAATTATCGTAATTAGTATTTTTGAAACTGCTTAAACAAAGGAAAACCTTTGTAAGAATTTAAAAATATCAATAAAATTTTGCTTGTTATTTGAGAAGCAAGAGAAAGTAAATTCTTTTTTAGACGTCGAATGCATTCATGATCGCTCATGATGGCTCATTTTTTTATTATTTATAAAATCATGATTGAACAAAATTTTTTTACTAAACAAGTTCAATATACTTAGCAGTTAAAAAACAATAATCAAAATTGACCGATTAAAATGGCTAATCGATTTTCAATATAACATCCACACTGATAAAAAAATTAATTGGATTTAAGAGACAAAATTTTAAATTAAAATCTTTATGAAAAATTTGAATATCTTGAATGAAGCAGAAACGTTTTAAAAACAAATTAATTTTTTAACCATTGTAAATGAATAGTTAGAGAAAAAATGTGGGCGTATATAATACGCGTAATAGAAGTGAAATTTTATGCTTATTATTTTTAGATAGAAATAAATTATTAATACTTTTCATTGACCAAACGGTAATTATTTCGAACAGTACTGATAAGAGCATAGTCTCAAAGACTAAGATAAAAATTGGCAAAAAAGTTTCACTACAATTAATGAAATAAAACTAAAACAAACTGATTATTTAAAAATTTTTACATAATGTACACCTCTTATTATAATAATTATAGCTTCCAAATGGAGATAACTACAAAAGGCTCTCAAGAGTCTGAAATTTAAGTATGATTAGTGCAAACAAAATTAGCAAGCAAAAGTTCCACTTAAAGATCATTAATAAGTACATTATAAATTTCATTTATAAAATGATTATTATTTAAAAAAGACAACTTATAAAATAATTCAAATAAGAAGACGTATACTTGATCTAGTAACTTCATAAGAAAGTTTTTTTTTTAACTAAAACATTAAAAAAAACTGTGTGGAATTTACTTTTACTGAAGTATAAAAGTTATTTGGAATTCATTAATAAATTATGAGCGGCAAATAAACTCATAGTCGAGAGGCAGCATACTTAGTGTTTAAAAAACCTGAAGTGATGTTTCATATGTGGCCATGAATTTGTTTACTGTGTTCATCAATTCCTTTTGAATTACAAATACAAATTGTATTATGATAAACGCAAATCTAAATTTGGATACTTAGACTTTTAAAGATTTCATCAGCTCATCATTAATTTCTTGATTTATTTGTTTTATTATACTTTTTCTATGGACCATTCTATGACGTCATGTTTATCTGTTTTTATTTTTTAAAAAATTTTTAAGAAAATATGATAGAATAAACGTTACAAATTTTTCGAATTTTTAGCGGTTTTGAAAGATAAATTTCGATTACAAAGTTGGCTCTATTTTATTAATTAGTTAATGGGAGAGTAAATTAACAAATCACGAAAAAGTTTTCTGAGACAATCTTAGTTTGAAATCTTGTTAATAAATATGTGTCAACTTTCTCGAAAACAATGGTAAAAATTTAAACTTTTTTTTGAAGATATCATGGCCTACTTTCTTCCTAAAATGCACAATATTCTATTTTTCCTCATTATATACATTTACTCATCAGAAGATATCAAATCATTAACATTCAATTTTCTTAATTTAAGCGCCAATTTACTCCCTACAGTAAAGTAATGAATAATTGTGGTTTTACCAGTTCAAATGCAGGTTTCGCACTCCATTTACATGGTCGCAAAAATTTTGCAAAAAAATAATCATCATCAGGAACATAAAGTTCAGGTTCTCCTGTAAAATAAAATGGATTGATAATGGAATGATTTAAAAAAGTAAGTGAAAATATAAATATTAATTGCCTAATTATTAAACTAAACTCTCATTAGTATTAAGCATTATTAATAGTAATGAATGGAGAAATAACAAGTAAAAACCGACCGATGTTGAAATCTTTTATTAACATTTTCCTGCAGAAAACTTCCGTAAGTTAATATAAGAATGCGATAATTTTAATGAAGATGATATGTATCACCAATTATGTGCAAATAAATACTTGTTTTAATAATAATATTGCAAGAGCATACATATACTCATACATACACGTGAATTAATGATACGCATATTATTATATCTGAAATAACGATTTTCTTTACATAATCTATGAATTATTTTTCCAAACATAAATTACTCGTCACACTGAAAAATGACTTAATGTATTTGTTTCAGTTATCGTTATTTCTTATTACTTTGTTCAATCAACTCGATAAACACTAACCAATTATTTCAATTATTACCGTGTAAAACAAAATGTAAATTTCTTTTTTTTAATTAACGTTTCATTTTGTTACTCGATTTGTATGAAGATAAATTTTAAATAATCATGCATCATGTATAACTATTCATAAAAGATAAGTATTTGAATATTTAAATTAAAAAATTGCGTAATTTTTCCGTTGCATAGTACTTCTAACTCATAGAATAAATTATAATGTTTATTTGTGCATGACATAAGAATAAACATTTATAAACTTTCTGTGATTAGTAAATATAATAAATATTTCGCAATGAGTAAAAATGACAATTTTAAATTGTAACATTCTATGATAATGTTGGGAAATAAGTGATTAGAATGTAATCTTTTTTTATGTAATTATCTAGCGTGAATAAATAGATGTATACAATATGAAGTTCAATAAAGTAGTGAGTGACTTTTAAAACTGTTGAGATAGGCATTTAATGTCGACATAAACGATTACAACACTGGAAACTGGTTTTGATTCATTATTGAGTGAAATAAATTTTTATTTTAAAATTAAAACTGACTATACAATGAAAGATAAGTGAACACAAATTTTATTTATTATAGGCTAAAAAATTAAATAATAATAATTTTGTAATTCACTTTGATACCTTTTAACAAGTCTCTTATTTCTTCAAGGGCCTTGGTAACGACTTCAGCTGTTTCATTTAATTCGGTTCGCGCTTTTTCAATCATTTTCCTATCAAGAGGATGTGGTTCCAATTGAAAAACTACATCGCCAATTTTCAAAGGTTCTGATTTGGTAACTTTTTCCAAAGTTGCTTCATATCTTCCCAAAGTTTTTAATTTTATGAGATCCATTTTTGATAATATTATGTTTTGTTAAATTTGTACTAATTGTAAACTAATTGTAAAAAAAATGTTTCTTGAGTAATTTATTTTTTTGTATGTAAATCTTTAAAAACACTTTATTAGTCACAACAATCAATTGACAAGCCTTTAAAGCAACCACTTTTATATTTTGTTATTAAAAACAAATAAGCGATAATAAAACATCATTTATTTATATAAAAACAAGCAATTGTCTTTAAGTTGAAATAAAAACCCGCGAACTCAGTTGTGCGTTAGAGTACCTGGAAAAGACTGTTGAAGAACTGCAAAGTCAGCGATAGTATTACCCGTCGTCGAGAAATATATTTCTCCTTCTCCACTTTTACACAACAAGTCGTTGGCTTTGATCATTTTACTTGACCCGTTATTGTACATTGCCAGGTCTCGGTCATCTCTTTGTTACAACCATGCTAGTTTATTACACATACATATAATTAATATTATCCAAACATTACTTATACTAACTTAATAGAATTTTAAGAGAGGTCTAATGTCGATTGTACACGTGACTTGATGTCAATAAATTCTGATTAAAGTTGAGTTAGACTCTTTGTTATATACGCATTATTAGTAGTAAATAATTTATAAATTATAAATATACTAGACTTCAATTAAGTCTGTAATGTCTGGTGTTATGTTAATCAACACATTTGAACAATTTTAACTATTTTACTTTAAAACATGTTCATTCAATCAATTCATATAAATAATACATACACCTTTCTTCAATCTTTATACTATTTAGTACAACAGAAACTTCATTTAAAATTTATTTTTAATTACACGCTTTTGTCTGATGTTAACAATTTATTGTCAATCTTAATTACTGTTTTCATCATTTCCGATCTCTATAGACATGTATCAAGAGTAATATTATATGCTTATTTTAGTCACAAGAATCAAAATATAAATTTTATTTTATGCCTCAAGATCCTCAATTCGTTTGATCTTTTATTTACTACACAAAAAGTAATTTTACTTTGATCCTCAAAATCCTTAATGAGTAGTATTACACTGTAAAAGAAAAACCGGTGTGAGTCCATGCGGTGTACGGTGTTAAATTCAACACCGAAATCGGTGTAGCAGTAACACCGGTCGCGGTGTAAATATTTTTTTTCGGTGTTAAATCGGTGTTATAAATTTTCCGGTGTTGGTAATATTTTAACTAACACAATTTTTATAATTAAACTTTTCATGTTTAAAAATTAAAGATAAATAATAAAAAAAAAAATTAATATTTAATTTAGAAAGTTTAAAATAATAAAATATTAAGTAGATAAAAATTTTTGATTAAAATAAATACACTGTAAAAAATTTCGATGTAAAAATGGACCCGGAGCACACGGCCGTGAAATGTGAAATAATGGTGTGAAATTCTCTCGGTGTAAATTTTCGATCTGTGCTACTTTAACACCATTATTAAAGAACAATTTTAGGACATCATATAAATAATCGAAAACTCCAAAATAGTGGATTTTAGTAATTATTTCATAACTTTTAAGTATTTTTGTAAGATTTTCGGAATACTTCTAAGATAATTTTAGAATCAATTAAATTTATTTGAAGCAATTTAGTTGAAATTTTGTCCTTAAATCTTATGTGAAACCTTTTTTAAATAATCTTAAAACATTTTTTTAATTATTTGACAACAAATTTTGAATACTTTTGAGACATTTCTCGGATATTTTTGAGACAATTTTGAAACATTTATTGGACAGTTTTAGAGTGTTTGAACAAATTTGAAACATTTTACGACAATTTTGAACGTTTTTTAAATGATTTTCATAGAGATAATTTATTTTTGCACAGCTGTAGATTTGTCATGCATGTTTAAAACATCCATTATATTGTGAGAAACATCATGGTTACGATAAAAATAATTATTATATTGCTCCTAAACATTTAATATTGTAAATGTTATTTAATTTGTTGTATAACATTCATTAAATCGATTTCTGCGTAATTTTATGAATTGAAAATTCTTAAATAAATGTTACTTGTTTCATTTTGATAAATATATTGAATATTAATTGTGTTTTATGGAACATGTAATTTTATACTCCGATACGGTGTAAATTTATTCTACTGTTACACCGATATCACACCGGTTTAACACCGTATTTTTAACACCGCAAAAGAGCACCGCTACACCAGTGTTAATACACAGATGTTACATAGCGGTGTTAAAATGAGTCCATTTTAACATCGCTTTTTTTCCAGTGTAAGTCTAAATTAGATAAAAATATTGCATGCTTCTTACGGTTTTTGTCAAGAAAATCATTGAATCATATCATCAATGAACTTTTTTTTTCCATTATCATTAATTAATCGATACACACATTTTAATTTAGTCATAAAACTGGAATCTACGGTAATCATTTATTAAAATAATCCATTTTTAATTATTTACATAAAACCAAAGAATAATAAAATTTGATACCTTTCTAATCTTCGAAATTTAATATTTTCTTTAATTAAAATTGCACAGATCAAGAAAAAGCTAATATTTTAGCTTATAGGTAAAACAAAGACCTAGCTTTAAAGCACAATAGAAAAGGTAATGTCTTTACTTCAAATATGAAAACTTTAACAGCGCTATTGAAATAGTTGTAATTGACTATACTCGCATAAAGCTTTTACTCAGATTTTCCCCCAATTAGTTCATCGGGAATCGTTTTATCTTTTGTAAACGTTAGCACAATTTTCCAGTAGGTACAAAGTTAAAAAAATTTTTTTCAAGAGTGATCCTACTTTATTAAGTTAAGTATGCTAGAAGTGGTGAAAGTACATTCCAAATATGTTAAAAAAAAAATCAAACACAAAGAACTGAGACTGTCTGAAATTAAATGGATGAATTATTTTTTAAAGTAATGAAGTATACACATTCAGACCATCTTATAAAGAAATGCCAACAGAATAGGAACATTTCTAACATTGATTTGAGTTTTTAAAACACCAATAGGTTAGGGCGGGACTAGTTGATCACTTTTTGGTTCGACCTTCCATAACTTTAAGACGATGTATCGGATTTAATCAAGTCATATACTGTTAGGTCCGTAATTTAGTCTCCTTCAAAAGGTCTAGCGACACAAAAACGATCCGAGTCGAAATTTTCAAGTTATTCCCGGAAATACGCGAGCGCTCCAAATTGCTCAACGTGCCCCACTAGTGAGGCTAGTTGAGCATGGGTATAAGACTAGTTGTGCAATGGCTAAAATAGACGGAATGACTGTATAGAATTATATGAAAACAAAATAAAATTGTAATTAACAAGCAAATAATTAATTTATAATAATTCTACATATGTATAATTACGATTATAATAATAATTATAAACATAACAATATTAATTATAATTATGTTATATATTTATTAATATAATATCAATATGAGTTATTTTTATTTTTACACATTATAATAAATCATCACATGTACAAGTCAATTGATAATTATTAATTTAGTGAAGAAAAATTTCTTTTTTCAATATTGAAAATCTAGTAGGGCTGATTTAACACGCAGTCAGCGCCTTGCTCAACTAGCCCCAATTGAGGCAACAAAATAAAAATTAGGTTATAAAAAAATGATAAGAATTAAAAATAAACAATCATATATAATCGAAAGGAGAAAAATTAAGAGAAAAATTTTTAAGACCTGTTTTTTTTTTTTGACGCAAAAAAAAAGAAAACGTTTTGTCAGTTAGTCTAAACATCGGACGGCTGTTGGCTTTCGCGCGATGTGTTCTCCTCTCGTAACCCTTCTTTTCACCATTTACACTGTTGTTGTAAGTTGCTTAGTTTTCGAGATATTTCGATTGCACAACTTGCCCCTACGATCAACTAGCCCCGCCCTGCCCTACTGACATAATGTTATTTGTAGCGTTATCTACTTTTCACTTTAAAAAAAAATGCAAAAATATTTATTATAAATTTATTAATAACAAAGTAGCTTTAATTCCTGATGTCTCCTCTATTAGATAATAGTCACCTTGTAGAAAAATTAACAAATGATAAAATAAATAATTCCAACTTGAATTTTATTTAGAAAAATAAATTACGATTATAGAAGACTACAATGATAAAAAAATTTATTTTCCTTCATTGACATAATCCGTTGAACTAAATGTTGTTTTTTGGCATTGGTCAGGATTGTTAAAGGAGCACTTTTTTAATTTTAAGAAATAATTAATTCACTTAATTTTTGTTGACCGTTTAAAGATAATGTACAATATATAGAGTCATACACTGAAAAAAAAAATTAACTTGATTCGAGAGAAAGATTCTTGAACCAAGAAAATAATTTTGAAGGGGGTAATTGTCTTGAATCAAGACGAAAAATTCTTGAATCAAGTAAAATCTCCTTAAATCTAGATAAATTTATTAGTTCAAGAATTTTTCTACTTAAATCAAGAAGATTAAGTTCTTCAAAATTATATACTTGATTCAAGAACATTTTTTTTTCTGTTTAGAAAATCGAGTGACACCGATTTCTATATACGAGTATCTTGATTTACTTCTAATATTTTTTTAGATACTATGATTACTGAAGAGTGTTATCGTCGGTGAACATTAATGTCGAAGAGATTTACTGTAAGCATTGTGAGGATTGTAATATTGAAAACAACTCTTTATTATGTTATTTATTAATTATACATAGGCATTAAAATTTTTTGGAACAATTTTCATTAAAATTTGAAGTATAATTTATAAAAATAATAATATAATCATTTTTATTTTTGCGCTACAATTGCTACATTGCTATTTAAGAGCAAGAGATACTTATTAAATTATTTTATTCTTTCCGATATCCATACGTATTCCACGCTGAAAAAATTTTCCTTCATTATTATTTAAATTATAATATAAAACTATCAGTAATTTAAAAAAAAAAAAAAAAAAAAAAACATTCATTACCTCTTATGGAATCGTTGCATGATAAAATAGTTGGATACCAATCAGCGGCAGTGTAATTAATTTCTGGTAATTCGCCTCCATAATCCATGGGAAGATGACTCGGAGCTAAATATGCGTGTAGAGAGTTCATTTTCGATCCATGGAAAAACATTCGTTTTCTAAGTTTTTCTCTGGTGAAAGGCTTGAACATATTCCATACAATGTTGAAGAGGAAGGGTTGCTTTACGAAATGTACCTGTAAAATAAAAAATATTAATGATTGTTCTTTTATTTAATTTTAACTGTAAAAATTTTACTTCTTTCAAACGAAGGGGCAAAGCATCTTGAATAAATGATAGTAGTCTCATACTAAATGATGGTGATAACCCCATAACTTGTTTCATTGACAATCCATCGAAATCCATTATAACGACAACACCTCGTACCTGGAATTATAATATAATTATTATTAATAGCAAATTAATAATGACTTGTGGCATTGTAAATTCAATGTAAGTTTGAGCAAGTATTGGTTCTGGTTCAATTTTATAAAGTCGAGTTTTTACTGTATGGTGAGTAGGGAGACGTAAAAAAACCGACTATTTTTTTTTTTTTAGTCTCGAGTGAAAAAATGTTAGTTTTTGATGTTTTAAGAGCTCTCTCCAAAGAACAGCTTAAAAAAAAATTTTTAAAAGGTCGCTCCAAATTTTTTAAAATATCAAAAATCGAATTTTTTTTTTTATTTTTCTTCTCGTTACATCATAATTTTATAGACCAAAAAAAAAAGATTTTCCTGAAAGTTTCAGTTCAAAATGTGAATTTTAAAAGGTCGCTCGTAATTTTTTTTTTTAATTTATTGGTGACTATTTACAGTCGAATCGCGTTATGAGTCCGGCTTGTTTTCTTTGTTTTTTTAACAGACTCGCGTTAATAAGAGAGAGACACAAGGAGGGCTCATAACGCGACTCGACTGTAATTGGATTAGCAATTTTTGGCTCTGAAATTTAAAAAAAATTATGAGCGACCTTTCAAAATTTAAATTTTGAATTGAAACTTTCAGGAACTTATTTTTTTTTGGTCTATAAAATTATGACGTAACGAGAAAAAAAATTTCGATTTTTGACGATTTTTGAAATTTAAAAAAATTTGGAGCGACCTCTTAAAAATTTTTTTTTGAGCTGCTCTGTGGAGAGGACTCTTAAAACATCAAAAACTGACATTTTTTCACTCGAGACTCAAAAAATAAAATAGTCGGTTTCTTTGCGCCACCCTAATGTTGAGTTTCAAAAGTCCTGCACCAAAACAAAAATTGATTTGACCCAAGAAAATATTTAAGAAGATAAACTAGTCTAAAAAAGGCTTTTGAATTCGAAAGTACATACACCAATTAATCAGCATCAGTAAATTAATTGGGATTAAATGAACGTTGGTAGAATAACTTGAACTTATGCTTAATTAAGCGCACAATTTAACTAAGTTCTAAAGTAAAATAAGTCAGTAATTATTCCACTCGATAATTAATATTCTAATTTGCTTACAACTTGATCTCAATAAACCAATGCTTTCATTATACCTAAAACTCAGATTTAGAAATATTTTATGCTATAGACATAATACAAGAAAATTTCAATTATTCAATCATTTTACGATAATTTTAATATACAGATATTGATCATTTTTCATAATTAATTTTAGAATGAAAATTAAGATTTCAATTTACAATAATTAAAACTTGAATATTTAACTTTAAGAAACATTTATTGATGGTAAAAAAGAAAAGAAAATATTTTTGCATGCATTTAAAATTTTTTAATGTAACTATTGTCGTATTCGTTAATATACTTGCTATCATTAATAACTTATCGTTTGAGAGCAAAGTACGATTTACTTGTCTTTGAAATGATATAATCAAGATTATCCAGATGAAGCTTCATAATGTTTGTTCAAATATGATTAAAAATAAATTTTTCGGTGGTAATTACTTTAATTTCTTGCCACTAATCACTGATTAGCTTCATTTAATATCAAATGACTTTACCTGTGATTCCGGTTCTAACATCGCGGCTTCATGTATTAAATAAAATATTCTAAACATTTGGTCAGCTGTCACTTTCGATGGATCCCATGATTTTCCGGCGTTCACTATAAGGACACGTCTTCGTTTATGGTCCCGATCTTTTAGTACATTTACAACGTTATTCTCAAAAATCGCAGTTTTCTCATCATCCGGCATTAAATTATCGAGGAGAGCTGCATTTTTGACCTTAAAATCGGCAATTCTTTGCATCAAAGCATACGCACTTTCTGGATAAAATTTGCAAGGTCGAAGAAATATCAATAAGAATTCATCATCTGTTCTATAATACAAGGTTTTGCTTTCTGAAAGAAAAAAAAAAAATAATAAAATTTATGCTGTGAAAAAATTTTTTATTTCAAATAAGTGTATTATTCCAGATTATTATTTTTCTATTGCGTACTGTAAACAGACTTTGCATGTCAAAGAATGTTACGTAAGGTTAAAAAAATTTTTAAATTATAAATAACAATATGTTATTTTTTTATTTGAATTTATATGCATCATTGAATAACTTTATTATTGACAATTATGTACAAAAATGTTATCAGAATAAGTTCTGAAAAAACAAATCTCTTTGATAATTTTTATCGTAAAAGATTTCACCGAATTGGGAGTAACCAAAGCATCCAAAAATAACTCAACTGATATTACACAATAACAGTCTATCTCACAGTAATAATTCTTTAAAATAATTGAATAATATTCGTTCTACTATTGCATTCCTTTACTCTTTAATAATTAAAATATTCTTTGTCACATAAAAAAAAAATTATACCGTAAAAAAATTTATTTTTCAAAATAATAATTACAATAAACTTTTTACCTTCAAGAAGTTTACGAAGTGTTTCAATGCCATTTTTGACATTTTCTGGGGTTTCTCTAAGTTCAACTTCAGCTAATTTCTTAGTCTCCGCATCAAGAGGTCCAACTTCGAGTTGAAACGCCATCACAATTCGTGAATTAAGAGCTCCTTTTAATTAATAATGTAAGTTATAAGAAGATAATTAATTGAAAATATAGATTTATATATATGAACAACTTTACTAGAGAGACTAAACCTCATAAGAAGACGTCTAAGATTTATCTGGTTGAGTCGTTATATCGGGGAGGCTCTTATTACACATCACGATCTGCGTCTAATCTTTGACCATTACAAAGTCCAATCGAGTCTTTGGGATCCGTAACATTAAATAAATTGTGCATCATCTTCATGACAAATAAGTATAACTGCCAAATAATCACAACACCCTGTGATTACAAAAAAAAATATACAGATACATACAAACTACACGCATTACATTATTGCTTTTAAACTTGTCGCGGTCTGATAAGAAGAAACAAATACATGTATATTACTAATACTTCGATTTATCATTTGTTTATTTTTTTTTAATACATTGCTGTCATTGTTTAATCATCACTCTAAAGATAGTGCCAGTAGCGAGGACAATAAATTCGTATTAACATATGTCATTAATATTAATTAAAATATTTTAATGTACTGAATAATTAAATTTATTAATTTTTTGTTTACTATTTATTATTTAATTAAGATGTCATTTCTCTAATCGATCAATTCAAGTTAGATGACTCCATTTTTTATTTGGTTCGAATGGTAAAAATTATTTGAAGTAGGGTAGTCATAATTTATGTAACTTGAAAATTTTTTATTACGCATCCCCTAAATACATCTCGGAAAGTAAAAGATTTTAACTTCACATTTTAATGCCACAGTATGCTTAAAAATCATAAGAATTTCGAAGAAAAGGTCCAAGTCATTTTTTACGCGTAATTTTTATAACTTCAAAATTTTGCGTCCCATCGTTTTTGAAGTAAAATGTTATCTTTTTGTGCCCAAAAAACTACTCTGAATGCCTCAAACCGCATGAGAGTCGGTTGTTTATAGTTCGGAAGATATTGCAATTCAAAATTTTGAAGAATGGTGTTTTGAAATGCATGATAACTATAACTTTGAGGTTGAAAATTTTTTAAGAGTTTTCGACTTAAATATAGCAGGAACTTCCGGGAATGGCCAGCAGGGTCAACCGTTTTTATGATTTTTTTATTTAAGAAATATATTTTGGTATCGATGTCAGCTTTCCATGGAATCTCTGAACTCTGGTTAGTGGTTTACAGAATAATCTCTTGGTTTCAACTTAATTCGAACCATGATCTACCGTACACATGTTCAATCGATGTTAATTCACACAATTACGCAGCTGCTAAATTTGCTAACTTCAAAAGCATTCAATACATAACTTTTATTATAAATTCTAATATAATATGGGTCATTCCATGTCAAATCAACCAATAGTTGGAATCGATTACCCCTTTTGATTTGGATGAATTTTGGTCAGAAGTTTTCTTTTATCATAAAACGAAGTTCTGCGAAAAGAAAAAAAATAAAAAAATTTTTTTCGAAAGATATGCAAATTCAAAATTTCGCGATTTTTCCAGTTTTTCAATTTTGTTTTTGCAATATCTCGAATGCTATTATAGATACAGGAATATGATCTTTCGTTTGTTTAAAAGGGGACACTTGAGGCTATCGAAAAAAAAATATTTTGGAAAAAAATTTTGAAAAATGCCGAATTCGTTAAATTTTGAATTTTTGAAAATCGTCAAAAATGAAGACCGCCATTAAAATTTTGGCTCAATTTTTTTTGTATGATACCTTGTAATGATCTTAAAAGATCCTGAAATTTTTGGATAGGGGTTTTTTTTTTTTAAATATGAATTTTTGAATTTCGAAAAAAAATTTTTGAATTTCAGAAAAAAATTTTTTTTTGTTTTTTGCAACTTCTATACAAGTTAAAGTTATGCAGATACATTATATTGTAATTTTGAGTATTTAGAAATCAAATGCACGACGTGAAAATATTAAATAATAAATTAATTTCAACTTTTATTCATTTCTTAGACATAATCTTGAAGTCACGCTTAACGCATGATATGATTTTTTATTTTCTTAACGCATGATATATTTTGTCCGTTTCTTCACTTCAATTACAGTTTTTAACCTCAAATAACTCAAACAGATATTAATTTTCTATAAAAATTAGAAATGATTTCATGAGAATATCAATTTTTTTTCGTTCTTTCGAATACTTATTTACTTACGAATTTCTGCACAATCATAGATCCCAATCTCAAATTACAAATTATTCCCATGTTAATAAGACGACAAGAGGCATCAACAACTTTAAATGAAGTAAAAAAAGGACAAGTAACAAATTCTATCATGCGTTAAGGATGACTTATTTTAAGGATGCAAGATTATGTCTAAAAAATAAAAAAAAATTGAAATTAATTTATTATTTAATATTTTCACGTCATGCATTTGATTTCTAAATACTCAAAATTACAATATAATGTATCTGCATAACTTTAACTTGTATAGAAGTTGCAAAAAAAAAAAAAATTTTTTTTCTGAAATTCCAAAATTTTTTTTTTAAATTCAAAAATTCATATTTTTGAAAAAAAAACCCCTATCCAAAAGTTTCAGGATCTTTTAAGATCAATACAAGGTATCATACAAAAAAAATTGAGCCAAAATTTTAATGGTGGTCTTCATTTTTGACGATTTTCAAAAATTCAAAATTTGACAAATTTGGCATTTTTCAAAATTTTTTCCAAAATATTTTTTTTTCAATAGTCCCCAAGTGTCCCCTTTTAAACAAACGAAAGACCATTCCTGTATCTATAATAGCATTCGAGATATTGCAAAAACAAAATTGAAAAATTGGAAAAATCGCGAAATTTTGAATTTGCATATCTTTCGAAAAAAATTTTTTTATTTTTTTTCCTTTGGTAGAACTTCGTTTTATGATAAAAGAAAACTTCTGGCCAAAATTCATCCAAATCGAAAGGGGTCGATTCCAACTATTGGTCGATTTGACATGGAATGACCCATATGTATTTGATTTACTTGAAATAACAAATCATAAAACTTCCATATTTATTGATTAACAGCCATAGTTTGCATACTTCAAGTACAGTCAAGTCTCGTTATGAGTCCTATTAGTGTCTCTCTCATATTAACGCGAGATTGGTTAAAAAAAAAAGAAAACAAAATAGGACTTATAACGAGACTCGTCTGTAATTTAAAATTCAAATTAATTAGAAATAATGGAATTAAGACTAAGAAAAAATTCAAAACGACAATAAAATTAAAATAATTTAATTGATTTTATTAAAGCTAAGATTGAAAAAGATGTCGGGATCTCAAATCAAATATCATATTTCGTGAATATAGTCAGAATAGTTTCCTAGGACGCCAAAACGTGGAGATACGATAAGAACAAAAATCATGGATTTTTGGTAGCGAGAAATTAAAAAGTTTTGATTAGACCATTATTAAAGAAGTTATGAGCAAAAACTGAAAAAAGAGCAAATTTTTCGAAAATTCGATTTTCTTAAACTGATAATAAAAAAATTTTATAATTCGATAAGAAAAATTTTTCGACGGGTACTGAAAAATATCAGAATATTGAGAAAATCAAAAATAAAACTTCTTCAAGCCGTTCGATTTTGCTTGAAATGCCACATATATGAATGTTGACAGTTACATTTTTTTTTGTATTTTCAGTAAATTTTATTGTTTGAAATTAAACTGGAAAATTTATGAAAGTAACATTATTTATCAATTTGCACCACTAATAATATTTGATAAGCATTATTATCCATTTTAATTAATAGGAGTGTTTCAAAAAAAGCTTATGAAGCATTTTATTTCTAAGATATAATGCTATTCACAAAATTACAGGGGTAACGTTACGGTGATTTTTTGTTGCAAAAATTACTTATTTAACTCATTATTCATACATACTAACTATTATTTCTTACACACAGAAAAAAAAATTTACTTTAATCAAGTAAATAATTTTAAAGAATTTCATCTTCTTGATTTGAGTAAAAAAATTCTTAAACTAAGAAATTATTCTTGATTTTAATAAATTTTACTTGATTCAAGAATTTTTCTCTCGATTCAAGTTTTTCAATGCAGTTATGTATTTAGATTTTATTAAATTAAAATTAGTAACTATTTAGGAGTTTCGGCAAAACCACTACTCAAAAAAATTTTTTCGTGTTACACCAATGTACTAAAGAAATGCCAATGCCGCTCTTTTAGCTGCACTTTGCTGCCGCAAAATCGTGGATTACTGAATTACGGAAAAATGTCGCAGGGCCAATGCATAAGTACCGTGGTATTGGTTGTCGTAGGAAATAAGAATATCGTACAATTATCTTTTATTTGTAGTACACGGAGAGAAAAATATGGAAATCATTCCTATAATTTTAATGAAATATTTTCCTATACCATTTTAGGAGCGATTCCTTAAATTATGGGAATTATACCCATAATTTTTGGGAAATGTTACTATAATTATGGGAATGGTTCCTATAATTATAGGAACGATACCTATAATTATAACTGTAATATCGGCATGGTTCCCATAATATATAGGAATGGTTCCCATAATATATAGGAATAGTTTCCATAATATTATAGGAATAGTTTCCATAATATTATAGGAACTATTCCTATAATATTATGGGAACCATTCCCATAATATTATAGGAATGATGCCAATAATATTGGAGTAATTTTTTTCACACAACTGTGGTATTTAATTAATTACTTTTCACTAGATTTATTTTTTTTTGATTAAGTGATTCTTTTTTTATAATATATAAATTGATAAAAAAAGTTATCAGTAATTATATTTATTATTCCCTTGTGGAAATGGTCACGGAAAAAAAAGTCGAAAAAATTATATTAAAGAGTAAATTAGACTATTAAAAGAGTTATCTTTAGTTTAAAATTCTAAGAAAGTCTAAGAAAGTCTAAAAAAGTCTTTTAAACTCTATATAGGTCGTTTTTTTTACTGCGAATTGGCGAAATTTGAAAGACTTAAAAAGACTTTTAAAGACTACGTAAAAAAATTTTTGCAAGCAATAAAAATGTTTTTTTTTTTTTTTTTT